CACTAGATACAGCCTTTTGCAAAAATTATGAGAATTGTCAAAATATCTAAATATCATAATATCTATATCCATATATTGTCCGGAACACGCGGGTTTGCTAGAATAATTCATTGTTGACTAATAAGATTTAGTTATCAACTAACTAAGAATTTAGTGAAGTTTCCTTTCTGGCATTGTGTTCATGCCCCAGTGAATTCTTAGTTAGTTGATAACTTAATCTTATTTTTCTTATCTTTCACACTTTTTGACGTGCACTCTATTAACCTTGAAAACATGTAATCTTTAATTCAGCAGAGAATCTATTGATTGAAGCTAAGCTTGCACAAAAGAGAATTCGAAACTGGAGTATACAGGTAAATTGGTTGCATGGTAGTCAGTGTAAATATCTTGAAATTCTGGAAATGATTTACAAATCTGTATAATCGAAATTGTCATTCTTTTGATTGGATCTATGAGCCCTTCTCTCCCTTTGATCCCCACGCACCAATAAGCTTAGATGAATAATACACTGTTATCGCATGAAGCTGGATAATGAATGCAACAACAGCCATCTTGATTGGCAGGACCCTCCAGTCCTGTGTTGCTGGAACTATTCCTTCAGACATGTTTTGAAGAACTTCTAGAATGACGAAGGTGGAACCATACATCAAGGGACCAACACCAGTAACAATGATTCCAAAGGCAAACATGTATAACAGGTTAGACCGGTTTTTTGGTAGAGATTGTAAACCAATCAGAGCTGGGATAAAGCTTATACACCATGCCATGATCCAGGGTTCTGGAGTAAGTTCAACATTCCTAAAACATTGAATTAAAACACATGTTTTGAGACTTAAGCATCTTGTCAGTTGTTTTTGATGGCTTATTGTTTAATATTCCAATAACCTTTGCGAGGTTGTTGTTGTGAGGTTGGGTCGTTATCGTTTCGGGATTCCTGCCTCATAAATAGGGTGTCCATTGTAATCACCCATCTTTTCAACATCTCAAAAGGGAATTTGATAAAATAGGAAATACGGCCATTAATAATACATTTAACTTATGTAGTCC